CTGAGGTCAGCTTTAAAGGCCTACGGCATTCCTTGGACCACCAATGTGCTCCCATACCCTTTGTGGGAGTGGTTGGACATTAATACTCCTTCTAGTGGTTTAGTTTCTAAGATTTATAACTCAGTCCTTGTACTGCAATATACTTATATTCCAGCTATCTACTCCTGGGAAAGGGAAGGTCTTGCTCAACCTGATTGGGACGTGGTATGGATCAGATGTTTCACTGCTTCTAAGAATCTTGCTCATCAGATGATTCATTATAAATGTATCAACAGGGCCCATATCACTCCCAGTATACTATACAAGATGAAAGCTAGATCTGATCCTTACTGTCATTTATGTAATAAATCTACAGTTGGTTCTTACTTGCATATGTTTTGGGGAATGCCCAGTGTTGGTTCCTTTTTGGAAATTTGAATGTTCTGTTCTTTCGGATTTCCTGCACTTGGATATACCTCGAGATCCCCTGCTTTTTCTATTGTTAGACGATTCCATTCTCCAGCTGAATGTTCATCAAAAAAGAACCTTATCAGCTGCAAGTACTGCTGCCAAAAAGACTATTTTGAAGTTATGGATAGAACCATCCATTCCCACAACTTCTACCTGGCTATCATACTTCAGAGATATTGCCTTGCTGGAAGGTACCACTGCCAGGCTCAACGGCGCAAAAGACAACACTATTCGGAGTTGGGCAAATATTGCCGTGATGTTGCTAGATAGGCTGGAAAGTTGACATTACTGCTATATCTATATCTGAATTTTATTTATTTTATTTTTCTTCCTCTGGTACAAGTGGACAGCTTCATGGCATCTGTTTGTACATAGTTCTCTGGAACTGTTATTCACATTGTGATATATGTTTCTGATGTGAAACTAAATCTGAATAAAAATGTTGATCACAAAAAAAAGAGCACACACCAATATCCGAATTTCTATGTGTTACATTTCACTGGGGAAAGGAATGAGGAGATGCAGGAGAATACTTCGATTGAGTCTTTAATACAGCAAGCAAAGGTTTACACACACAGGAACTCTGGGATGACATTTAACAGCCGACGGGAAACAAGGGGCAGAACACACTATAAATACACATACACCAATGGGACACACCTGGGAGCAAATTAACTAAATAATCAAACAGAGCGGGAAACGAATTCACACAATGAGGACAGGAAAAGGAAAGATCAAATAAGGAAAACAGGAACTAAGACAGGGGTAAAACAAGGAAACAAGTCCACGACACTGACATTACTTCCCCCTTCCGGTAGGCGCGTCCCGCGCCGTAACATATCCACCGGGCGGGGGGGTGGGTGCCCTAGAGGCTGGTACAGGACGGAGACACGGGAGGCCTCCAGGGCGGATCAGGGAGCTCGGGAGGCCATGGCGGAGCAGGGAGCTCGTGAGGCCATGGCAGAGCAGGGGACTTGGGAGGCCATGGCAGATCAGGGAACTCAGGAGGCCATGGTGGATCCTCCGTGACCTTAGCCGGCTCGGCCACCAAGGCCACGGGCATATGCCCCCCCTCTCAAAAAAATGTATTGGGGAAAATTAGGAATTCTGGGGGGCGCTCTGGAGGAGGTGGCACTTGAGTGTGCTCTGGAGGGCACTTTCGAGGAGCGGGCTCTGGGGAGCCGCAGCCAGGTGGGCTTGGCATCGGAGCGGCCGGCAGGCTTGAGTGCTGAATGGCCGGCGGGCTTGTGTGAGCCGCAGCCGGAGGGCTTGACATCGGAGCGGCCGGCAGGCTGGAGAGAGCCGTGGTTGGCGGGCTTGACTTCGTAGCGGCCGGCGGGCTTGACTGAGGAATGGCCAGCGAGCTTCAGACAGCGGTGGGTGGCGGGCTTGAAGATGCCGTGGCTGGTGGGCTGGTTTTAGCTCGGGGCCGGACGCTCTCCAGACACCGGAGGATTCCTTTCCTCCAGTTTAGTCCCGTGGTGTCTGGGAGGTCCACGGGGTGATGGTAATTGGCCCCGTGCCAGAACAGCGAGTTTAGCGTGGCATCATCTAACGCTGTAGACGCGGCAAGCCTGCAGAACTCCCAGGAATACTCAACGAAGGGGAGATCCAAACGAGCTAGGGCGGTGAACCAAGCAGCCGCTTCCATTGCCGCGGAGGAAAACTGGGAAAACAAACACTGTTCAAAAGGCAGAAAACAAACATGGCAAAAAAAGACACCGCTTACTTCTTGTTTTGGTCAGCTGTTCTGTCAATTTTTCACTTGGGAAAGGAGCGAGGAGACGCTTTAGAATACTGAGTCGCAGCTCGCGAGGATGTTAGTGAGGCCAGCAGGGGGTGCTCACCCTGTGGTCTGCGTGGGTCCTAACACCCCAGTAGAGTGCACCGTCTTTTGGATGAGACGTTAAACTGAGGTCCTGAATCTCTGTGGTCATTAAAAATCCCATGGCACTTCTCATAAAGAGTAGGGGTGTAACCCCAGTGTCCTGGACAATACTGCCCCCCTGGCCTTTGTCAATCATGGCCTCCTAATAATCCCCAACCACTTGATTGGCTCTATGACTTTCTCTCCTCTCCACCTGTAGCTGGCCCCCCCCCCCACATGATTGTAAAGCGCTTTGGGTGTACAAAAATACACAATAAAGCAATATATAAATGCATCATTCATTCATTCATTCATTCATTCATTCATTCCATCTGTTAGAAATTCCTTGCGGCAAACATAGATCTACAGGATGACGAATGTTGTGAGGCCTATGCCACTCAATGAAAAACTCTGTCATACTGGATCCTCACCAGTTGTTCAGCAGGTGACATATTCAAACACAGAAAGGAGGAATAAAGCCCACAATAGAACAATAAACAGCATGTCCATTTGGCTGATTTGACTTTTGTTGGTTTTCAACAACAAAGTCCAGAGCAATCGTAAAACCCAAAACAAACTTGAAACAACAAATGCGACACATGACAAACAAGTCAGTTGCTTTCTATTTCCGAAAGCTGGTTGCCATAATATAATAATAATAATAATAATAACAATAATAATTTTCTGGTATGCAGAAAAAACAAAGTTGTGCAAGTGTGTTTGTTTGTTCCCAGCATTTCAGTGATAAATGTTTTATAAACATTAAATCAAATGATATAAAATCATGAGCTCCTGATGGTGTATGCATCAATGAAGCTGCTTCTATATCGATTCTGCCACACATTTGAAGGTAGCTAAATATCATGTGATGCCAATTGGCCACCGTTTTAGCAACATGAACACTAGCACACTACATTCAAAATGTTGCCACTACCGACGAGACCAAATCATAAATAAGATAATCTATGCTTTTTAACTAAACCATAGGGTCAGATGTCAGACACGTTAGACGTTAGCGGCTTCCTTTTGATATGTAGCCACTTCCATGTGGGAAAGTAAAATTGACGCTGCTCCAAAGCCTGTTTGATCAAGACTTGTGTTTATTGTAACAAAGGCATAAATACATGAAAAAAAATAAGACAAAACAGTGAAGTGAAAGATAGTTGCTGTGCAGGTAAAAAAAAATGTCTTTCTTCCCTGCTCATTGACACATCACATCCTGTTTAAGATGGCTATCTAAAGTAAGTAAGGTAGTTGGGTAACGCTTTATTTTAAGTTGTCCTTGTGACATGTTACATGTACTTACTATTGTAATAACAATAAATTATACATAATTACATGCAAGTAACCCTAAACCAAACCCTAATCCTAACCCTAACCATATAGTAAGTACATGTAGTTAATTAATATTACTCGGTACTTAATAAATGTATAATTACACTGTAACAAGGACACCTTAAAATACATTGTAACCAGTAGTTGTTAAGTTTAGGTATTGGGTAGGATTAGGGATGTAGAATATGGTCATGCAGAAAAGTTGCTTTATAAGCACTGATAAACAGCCGATATGTTAATTATAGACATGCTAATAAGCAACTTGTTAATAGTGAGCATTGGTCTCTATACTAAAGTGTTACCATGAAGTGTTACCAAAAGTCCAATATGATATTCAAAAATATAATTAAAACTTATTAAGAACAAATGTAATTTTCCTGTAGGTTTCAAACTGTTCTGTAATACAATGCAATACAATAAAATCTAAGTAACCACTGTATGAAAATTTGATAATGGCATATGTCTAGATCTATCTACTTTAGAACTATTAGCTGCTTATCTTATGCAAAAATGTATATGTAAATAAATGTGAATGTGGTAGAAACTTGTTTTATGTAAAATACACTCATGACATCACATTGTAACATGACACTTGTGTTCTGTCAACATTAAATAAACAAATGCAAAAAATAATACCAAAATATTATTGCACAGAAGCATTCAGATAAATGAGGCCAATCTCTAGCATCATTGTAAACTTTGTTATCCAGCAAAAGTAATACTGTTTCAGCTTGTAGACTCACACAAGTTTGAGTTTAAGTTTAAGTTGTGTTTTATCTATAGTGGTAAGCACCATGGCTATAAGGCTTATCATAGCAAGTCTTCAATGTTCTCTTCTGTCTGCTCTTATATTTGCTAGTGACTTAATTTTTGTGCTATATTGTAAAAGGCTTTGGCACGAAAGCTAACAATACAAAATAAAATGTAATAATTTTGTTCATAATTATGCCACATATGACATATTCATGTAGTTTGGGACCTAATATTTTGGAAGAAATATTAAGAGGAGAGTAACCATTAGTAACCTTTAGAGAGCTTGTTAAAACTGTTTGTTATCAAGGCAATTAACATGAGATCAGTGTCTATATATAGCAAACCAAATCAAACTTTTGCAAAACACTATGGGAAGCATTCAGACAGAGAACATGGTAAGATTTCAGTTGTTCTGTAATTGAAAAAAAAAGTTATGGTACTGTTAGAGGATTTCATGTTTGCTTTGTTGTTGGTGTTTTTTTTCATCTACAGACTTCCTATACACTGTGACAAATTTATACAACTTTATGGTTTTCCAATAATTTTTCTATTTAAAAAAAAAAAAGAAAGCTTAAAATAATTACATAAATTCAAGATGCAGCCACCATTGAAGAATGAGTCCAGGGTCTTAGTATTTACACTCTCTGGTCTGAATGAAACAATGGAAAACAGATATTTCTTGTTGTCTTTAACCGCACTGTATTATCCTCTGATTGTCTTGTGTAATGTAACTGTAATTTTCACTATAATCTGCCATAAGAAGCTTCATGAGCCAATGTATCTGTTTATATGTAGTCTCTGTGTAAATGGACTTTATGGAACTTCTGGATTCTACCCTAAATTCATGTATGATTTGTTAGCCCATGATCATGTGATTTCGTATGCTGGATGTTTGGTTCAGATATTTATCATTTATTCATCTCTTCTATGTGACTTTTCAACATTAACAGTGATGGCATATGACAGGTATGTGGCAATATGTAGGCCACTGGAGTATCATTCAGTAATGACCAGTCAGAGGGTTCTTGAATGTATTCTTTTCTGCTGGATTTCTCCATTTTTTTGCATGTCTCTTCTGATTACATTAACATCAAGACTAACCTTATGTGGCTCTAGTATTGAAAAGCTATATTGTGAAAATTGGTCAATTGTTAAACTTTCCTGTTTTTCTACAACAGTAAACAATGTGATTGGGTTTTTAATCATTATTATATATTTTGGACATGCAGTATTAGTATTTTGCTCATACATTTACTTACTTAGAAAGTGCAGGAAGTCAATAGAGGGCAGAAACAAATTCATACAAACATGTGTACCACATCTGCTTGCACTGATCAATGTGACAACTGCATTTATGTTTGATGTAATGTTCACTCGTTATGGTTCAAGGGATGTGCCTCAAAGTCTGCGTAATTTCATGGCTCTGGAATTCATTCTAATACCACCCATTTTAAATCCACTTATTTATGGACTAAATCTGACAACAATACGGCAACAAGTTATGAGACTGATTTTCAAGAAAAAAATGGGAATATCTGAGTGAATATTTTCTCAAGTCTAAAGATCCTATGCTTTCTGTGTTTTGGAAAGTTAGTGACAAATACACACACAAATATATATATATATATATATATATATATATATA